GTACCTGGTTAAGCCTACGGAACTTCAATAGAAGAATAGGTTTATATGAGTAGTCTCTTGAGACAACTTGAATGTAGCAAAACGAGAGAAACGGGAAAGAAAACGAAGGAAAGCACATGGGAGCATGATTTAATGAGTCTCACTGAAACCTTTAGCCTCACAAGCCTGACTCTAGACCGAAGCGGATGAAAACTAATACCAAACGTATAATAAACAAGGTATGCTATACCAACAGCCAATAGGAAAGCAAAATAAACAATAGGCCAACACCAGCTTAATGCTGCCCCGGAAACTGCCAGCGCATATAGTGACGAAAGAAAAAAAATCAAAATAAAACCAGAAAAAGGAAAGAGGTGTCAAGACCGCGAATGCACACCCATTCACCTAGTCTAATACACTTCGCGATTGGTGCGGTGGAAGTCGTCCTCGTCTACACCCCCGTCGCCGCGGCCGCCAAACAAGTACGCCGCCTCCATGCAGTAGCCGCCGCCACCGGCGTTAACACCGGCATTGTTGGACATGCGCGTCTCGCTGCCGTAGCAAATCACCACGGCGTCCACAATACCGCTCAGAATGCCCTCCATGGCGCCGAGGACGCCCCAGCCGATAAAACTGGCGACCAAGCCGACCACGTAGGCATACGCACTGCCACGGACACTACCGCCGGCACCGTCGGGAAGCGCAATGCGCAGCTGCCGCGCCGTAATGACCCAGCCGGCAAAGCCGAGAGCCGTCGCCATAATGAAGCGCGTGGCATGCAGCAGAAGCTTGGCCAGCCGGTAGGGCAGCAGCGGCGCCGTCGAACCGACTCCGCCATACCTCTTACGGCGTTGCCGAGCCTGGAACATGCGCGGCGTCAGAGTGGTGGTGGGTGCCTCGGGGGACAGGAACGCTAGCTGGGTAAGTCCCTGCGACGACGCGGTCAGGTTTTGGGAGTGGATGGCACCATAGGTAAGCGTAAGGGGGTTCGTGAGTGCGGCGATGGGCGTCGGGATGAACGAATAGAAGAAGAGGCCGAGACCGTTTGCGAGCCGGACCGGGAGCACGAGGAGAGGGAGCCGAACGGCGAGGGCGAGCAACGTCGACAGGCAGATGGAGCCGAAAATGGTCGTCATCGCGTGGTGGAGGGCCGCCGACACGACTTCGTTGGAGGACGGCGCAGGCTGCACATTGCGATGGAAGTACCACTGGGACACGGTGGCACCCGTGGTAGCACGCTGCACGCCCGAGATGACAGACAGGGTCCAGATGTACATGAGCACAAAGTAAACACCAAGCCACCAGCTCGACGTGCTGATGATGAACCGAGACAGCTTGCTGGAGAAGGAGCCGCCCAGGAAGACCCGCGTAAACATGGCCAGCCACGCCCACGTCCAGAAGACAATAAGCATGAGGCAGCCCATGCCGACAAGAACAAGAGCAGAGTTGGCCGCCAGGATGCGGCTGGAAAACTCAAGAATGTCAATGGACGACCGTAGAGCCGACCGGCCCTTCCACACAAGATACAGCCAGACAACTGCGGATACGCCAGGCACAATCGACGCCCAACGCATGACTGTGTCCTGAAAACCGGAACTTCCCGTCTTGGCGCCTTGGTAGCTGGACACAAGAGGGTATATGCTGAAGGAGATGAGGATCACGGGGACGGCAACAATAATGAGGCCGACCATGTAGCGGGCGAAGGATCGGAGGGCAGCGAGCCATACGAGGGAGACGATGACGGCTACGAGGGTGTCAACGGCCAGGAGGTGAATTGACGAGAGCAGTGTCGTGTAGATGGTGTCGCCCCACGGTTGCTTCTCGCCGCCCGTAGGCCCCGAGGTATGTAAGTAGACGAGGACAAACGTCGCGAATAGAGACGCAAGGGCAATGAGATAGATCCAGGCAAAGAATGGGTCGTGCCGGAACAGCTCCACGTCGGACGAGGGTGCACCTCCTGTGGCCGCCTGCTGCAAGACGCTGCTGCTAACAGGATCTCCAGGGCCGAAATTGGCCTCGCTGTCGGCACCACCACCAGCGCCGTCTCGCAAAAGGCCCAGCTCGGACTCGTTCGTTGAGCCCCGACGAAAGCCAAAGCGACCGGAGCCCTTGGCTGCTGCAAACTTTTGAAACGCTGGTACCGGGTTGTCGTCGTCTTCGCGGGCAGCTTCGACAGTCAGATCCAAGGGAGGTTCGCTCTCTGCAATCGTCGATTCCAGTCCGATATCCACCATCTTCCCGCGGCTTTCTTGGAGATGGGGATTGTAGCCGTCGGAATCCTCCTCGTTTGCCGTGGCATCGCGCCCTGGCCGGTGGAAGCTCCGATTCTCGTTCCAGCTGCTTTGTATCCTGGACGAACGGATTCCCTTCGTTTTGTTTGACACAAAGGCATCGTCGCCGTCTTGTGCGTTACTGGTTGCTGCTGCCCTGGGTCTCCGTCCGCTGTTGCTCAATCGATGGCGGCCGTCGTCGTCTTTGCTGTCACCCAGTGACGCGTTACTCAGCTCGGGGTCTGTGCCTGTGCTTTCTTCTAACCGGCTGGCTGCGAACACCCGTCGTGACCGCTGAAGTGCATACAGATCAGCAGCCTCTCTGTCACGCTCGACCTCATCGTCGTCATCAACGCCTTCCTCCTCCTCCTCCTCCACCTCGTGAAACAGAGGCGCATCCTGGGCCGCAGTCGAGTACCGAGAGGCAAAGTTGAGCTGGCCAAACCGTGAGCCAGAGGACTGGTATGGGTTCCCTGAGGCTCCTGTTCCACCTCCACCGCCACCACCGAATCCGCGACCTAGGAACGATCGTCCATATGATCTGTTGTTGCGGGATGGCCAGTCGCCTGTTTGCCGGTTCGATGTGTCGCCACCAGTGTTGCTGCTGGTGTCGTCGCCGGCCGCTTGGCCGAAGTTGGACAGTCGTGACTGGGACTGTGCCAGGAATCGAGAGGCATCTGATAGATGAGACGTCAAGTTAGTCACTGCGTAGGGCAAAGCTTCTGACGTTTTCTCTTGTGGCAGGCTGTTATCGAGAGTACCGAAACGCCCCGAGACAACTCACATTCCGAAAACATCGCGACGTTTCCTCCCCCAAAGCGTCCCCTGCAGGGAAAAGCGTCAACGTCCGAATCCTGATCTTTGTGTCAGATGCTTTTCCCTGATGCAAAATACGGTGGGCGAAACTCGAGCGTCGTTGTTTTCGTTATCGGTCGTACGTTTCAACAGCTGTTGATGTTGCGCGATAGGAGAGGCTTATAGAGATAATGTCGGTGATTGGCAGACACAGAGTCGAGAGGACGTGACCAAGTCGAATGGTGAGGTCACGTAGATTGCGACGTGAAAGATGCACGAGACTATTGCACCAAAGTGTGCTGCTTCAACGGTTGTAGGAATTAGGCGATACAAAAGTGGCGTAGTTGCGGTATGTGGCGGTTCAGAAGGGAAGCTGCCTCAGCAGGAGCCCTCAGCACCAGGAGGGGAGAAGATGCGTAAGAATAGTGGTATCGCTAAACAACTGCGCGTGGAATGAGCAGTGACGTGTGCGAGGAGGTCAAGTGCAGGTCGGGAAAATGGGGGACTGGCGAGCTCGAAACAAGGGCGCACAGAAGTAAAGGCAAAGTCAGCCACCGATGACGGAAGTGTGGTCGGCCTGGCGCGAGGCCGTACTAGTGATGCTGGTGGCCGGTCGTTCTTTGAGGTTCTAGATACAATGCTTCAGTGGTGGCGAGCGATACGCTGCGTGGAAAGGCGTTAGAGGCTGGCAGCTTGGAAAGGAGAAAACGAGGAATAGAAATGTGTAAAATAACAGTGAACTGAGAGAAAGATACTAAGTGGTCGGTAAGAGTAAAAACGGAAAGAGAGACACAACCGAGGAGGCTTGAGAAGGAAAGAAAAGGCAGTCACAATCGACAGCCACCGCTCATTGTGGACGGCCTGGTCCCAGATGAGGCAGACAGCATGAGAAACCCTGGCGGCAGTAGCGCCACCCGCGAAATGAATGGTTGGCGGCAACGGCACTGCAGCGGCCTGGCTGCTGTGGGGCCTCTACGATGCAGTGGATAGCATTACTGGATAGCGCTGAAAGTGAAGTCACAGGCCATGACTCTGCGCGGGAGGAAAGAGCGACGGAGGATCAGGCACGCCACCGCTGGTGCATTGTCGTGTGTCTAATAGGATATACATGGATATCGCCAGGTGCCTCTATCAGTTCATTCACTTTGCCTATTGGGCTTGCACGGCAGCCTGCAGACAGCGTTTTCTGGCACTGAAAAGAACGAGGGCAAGGAAAAGAAAGGAAATATGGGCCAGAGGACACAGCCCGAGACATAGAGCCATGAGATCAGAGGCAAAGGGAGTGTCTCTTGCCAGCGTGCCCACATCTGGATCCCGGAACAATGGGAGGATGACACAAAGAGAATGAGAATGATGCCGTCTTTCACAGGCCGCTGGCGTTATCAAACATCAATCAAGCAACCAAAATGCGGCGCCTCCAGAGAGCTAGCGCCAGACACGCCAGGCCCCACTTTAGCAAACCGCTGGGTCATTCGGACAGCATTCTGGCGTTCCTAGCGGCGGAGGAAAGGGAAGGAGCGACACATTGAAAGTAAGGCGGCGACCCACCTTGCCAGCATGACCCACCCGAGCAATGGGGAGAGAGCCGGCTTCATCGTGGAGCCCACGTGAGAGGCGAAGGCCGCCTGCCAGTTGCCAATTCTGCCATCCCAAGATACGGGACGACGGGCGTCTTCTCCCAACAGTTTCCAAACGCATTTTGCTCCCCTGACCCTTCGATTAACGTGTATTCTCTTTCCCTTGGCAACCAACAACTCTCGTTTTCGTCTCTTGACCAACTCCATCCCACTCTTTGTGCGAACATCCTCCACATTCCCTTACCTCTCCAGCGATACCGGCCGTCTGTTGTTTCCAGCCTTTCTGCAGCTTACGCTGAATCCCAACTCGAGCTTCTCTCAGCTCTCCAGGATCAACCAACACACTCTTCTCCTCCTCTCCTCGTCGTCCTACCTCCCCATGTCGTCGTCCCCACCGCCGCAATGGGACTACATTGCCAAACTCGTGTGCATCGGCGACTCGGGCTGTGGTAAAAGCAGCTTGACCATCCGCCTCTGCGAAGGCCGCTTTGTCACCCACCACGACGTCACCATTGGCGTCGAGTTTGGCAGCCGCATTGTGCCCGTCGGGCCGCCCCATAGCCGTGCTTATCTGCCAGCAGCAGCAGCAGCGGCCGCTGCATCCTCCTCCGCAACGACACCTGGTACATCCACACCCAACTCTCTCAACTCGTCTGGCGGGCTCGTCCCGTCCACAATATCAGCCAGCACTCTCGATGGCGGCCTCCCCGACCCGCCACGTGCCAAGCCTGCCGAGCCGCAAAAACACATGAAGCTCTCGCTCTGGGACACCGCCGGCCAAGAGACGTACAAGTCCGTCACCCGGTCGTACTTTCGCGGCGCCTCCGGCGCGCTCCTCGTCTTTGACCTCTCGCGCAAGCAGACATTCTTGCACGTCAAGGACTGGCTCGACGACCTGCGCCAGATTGCCGACCCGGACATTGTCGTGGTGCTCGTGGGCAACAAGGCCGATTTGGCGTCGACTGACGCTTCGGCCGCCGAAGGCGAGGGGAACCAGCGGCAGGTGACCCGCGAAGAGGCCGAAGAGTGGGCCCGACGCAATGGCGTGCTCGAATACGTGGAAACGAGTGCCAAGAGCGGCGAAAACGTGGAGCACGCCTTTTTGCGTGTGGCCGACCGCATTTACCACAACATCCAGGCCGGGCGGTACGATCTCAACGACCGGCGGTCGGGTGTCAAAGGACCTGGTGCGGCGGCGGCTGCGGCGGCCTCTGCAGGCGGGGGCCGGCCGCTGCGTCTCGACAACGGCGCATACGGCAAGTCCAACGGCTGTTGTTGACGGGAATGTTTCTGGTCCATCGTAATATTAATGCAAGCGTTGCTCTTTTCGTTGCTCTGTCAGCATTGACCTTAATACATTGTACACTTTGTCCCTTTTGTACACAAGTTTTGTACCACTACGATATCATGGTTTTATTATCAATAGGCTCTTTAGCAAATATTAAAGATTTTGGTGCTAAAGCTGCGCATATACTTGTCGCTTACAATCTGGTACTTCATATTTTAAGCATATGCCACTCTGTGTGATGTACTGAGTCATGTGTAGTTAATTTTTTTGATGCTGTTGTTTGGGTGCGACAAGCTCTCTAAAAAAACCCAACAAATAAAAAACGAGATGCTCGCAATAAACGGCATAAAAGAGGAGCCAAGGAAAGAAGAAACGACAAATGAAATCATATTGTATTACATAGTAAACAGTAAGAGGTGCTGGGTGTGAGTTGTGTGTCCGTCGTTGTTGTTTTTGCTCAATGAAAAAGGGGAGACGATAAGGAAAAGAAAAGTTGGAGGCAGGAGAAGAATATACGTCCTTCCCCTACGCGTAAAAATAATCCCAAAAAATGTAGCCAGAACTCCCGCCCGAGGCCCGCGTCTCTTTTTAAAAGCTACGTGTTAATCCTCTATCCATGTCTCCATTTTTGGTAGCAGATGATTTTCGTGTTTGTGCGTCTTTATACCGGCATGACATTATTTCTTCAGCGAGTCGCCTAATTGAACAAGCCGATAAGCTGTAACCGCACTTGAACATAGGGACAAGATTCATGTGTTTCAGACAATCCGAGTATGCCTGGCATTGCTTGATTTGGCTGTGACCGGGATGCATAATAAATAAGATGAGCGTACTGGGGTTCGATACCGACGTGATCCGTTTAGTCCGAGATTCTCCAGTTGTCGAACCACTTCATGTAGCGGTACTGGGCGTTGGGGCCGACCATACCCCAGCAGATCGGGATGAAGTAGATGTAGAGACCGATCGTGGCGGCGTAGAGGACACCAAACGCCGCGTAGCGGATCGCCGCAATGCGGTTCTTGAGGAACCAGTCGGTCAGGAAGCCGAAGGTGAGCACCGCAAAGTACAGAGCCGGGTAGTAATGATGCACATAAGTGACACGAGCCATGATGACGAACGGCAGATAGTGCAGGAACCAGCCAATGACCGGGTAAATACCGGCATAGTGGATGTGGTCAATGTCATCCTGGGACAGCTCGGTGTAGCCACGCTGCCACCGGATGGTGTACCAGGCAACGAGAGCGGCAAAGACACCAAGGCCGGCCGTCGAGCCCCAGTAGACAAGAGGGTTGCCGAGCAGGAAGTACTTGACGATCTTATCGTCCCAGCCGCACATACGCAGACCGACGTTAAGGATGGGCCACTGCCACCACTGCGAGGCAAGATCGTCCTGCTTGTCCGGGTCGGGAACGAGAGCATTGTTGCTCGTCATCATAGCCACGTTCAGGTGGACAAAGTCACGAAGGAACGGCGACTTGTAGACGCCGGGGTTGCCAGCAGGCAGCTTCTCGTTCCAGTGGGCCTCGACATTCCAGTGCGTATAGGTGTCTCTCGGGCTGGTGTCCTTGGCGCACGTAACCTCGATCTGTCTGAAACCCCACTGGGGAAGGTTGGTGTTACCGGCGCGAAGGTAGCAGCCCATGACAGTGTGCTTCAGGCGGAACGAGGTCGTCAGGGTGCGGATCTTCGACCGGTCGCGCGATGCGACGTCGTCAAGAACCTCAATCTTCCAATAGTCCTTAGCATCGCCAACTGTCAGGTTGCCGTAGCAGGACACTTCCTTGTCGGCCTTGGTGACGGGAGCCGAAATCTCGTGCGAGTGCAAGTTGCGGCCGGTCTGGGCGTGGATGAGGCGGACGACGGTGTTGTCGCTAATGAACTTGGGCTCCTCGTCGTTCTCCCAGTTGGGCTCCTCGCGGGTCGGGTAGAAGAACCAGTCGTTGTTGGAATCCTTGTGGTGGTAGCAAGTGATTTGCTGCTGGCCAGAGCCCTCGGGGTAGGTCTGGACGTGGGAGTGCAGGAGACCACCACCGTAGCCCATGTTCTTCAAGGTCACACGCGAACCATAGGCAACCTCGAGCGGGCTGTTTTTGCCGACCTCGGTGCCCTCCAGGTTGGCCTGGAAGAGAGAGCTCATCTGCGCATCGCCAGGGCCGGTGCGGGTCAGGACAGCAAAGTGGACGTAAAAGCTGGCCAGGTAAACAAGGAAGGGCAGGACGATCAGTCCTCCAACACGCGCAGCGACGTGTGCGGCGAGGACAGTCTGTAAAGAAGCTAGTTAGATACTGTATTGGCATATTGGCCCATGGCGATTCATATGATGGATTGCGTGTCCGGTGGATGCGAGGCGTACCGGCTTGATCTTGATGTCGCCAAACTTGTTCCACAGGTCCTCAGCGGTGTACAGACCAACCATGGCGGTCACGAAGAGGCCGACAAGCTTGACACTAGTGACGCAACCGATGCTGAGACCGGTCATGGTCAGCCAGAAGAACCACTCCGGGCTGAAGCTCTTGTCTTGGGTGCGGTGGAACTTGGCCCAGCACAGGACCGTCGACACCGTGCCGCACAGGAGCATGGAGTCAAGAAGGATGAAGCCTATGCCACGACATTAGTACCATCGATTTGCTCATGAGCAAGGAGAGAAGACGGGCGAGCGTGGCCGTACGGGAGATGGTCGTGTAGCTGTTCTCGCACAGAATCATGAGGGTGACGAGCCAAACAGCAGGGCGCGAGAACTTCAGCTCGCGGGCGGTGAAGCTGTGCGTCGGATAGTCAGTAAACAAGACACCTATCATCCTTTGTGCAACAAGGTATCTGGGGGGACTTTGGACATACTAGGCCATGGGAACAAGGAAGATACCAAACATGGCATTAAAAGCGCGCATGGTCCAATAGTCAATCTCAGGCGGATAAGTCTCGCCCGACTTAAACTCAAAAGTACCATTGTAGCCCGCGATGTAGCCAGACAAACCGACGAGAAGCTTGCCAAGAGGAGGGTGCACATCGAAGTAGAACGTGCGCTGGAGGTAGTGAGAGCCGAACTTGCCAAAGCTGTAGTGGAACAAGAAAAAATGAAGAGGTTAGCAAACTTGTCCTCTCTGGTTCAGGCCACATCCAAATACCCATTGGAGGTGATTATTGATGGGCGCTTCTCATGCAGCCCTAGGCGTCAAATTGGAAAACAAAGCAACAAGAAGCGAAATGGGGAGAACTTGCTGTGCCTCGTCCCAGGTGACGATGTTCGAGAGGCCAATTTTGTAGAGGCGCGTGAAGAGGGCGACGGCTGTGAAGATAATAGGGGCCCAGACGACCTCCCAATCCCCAATCAGTTGCCAGATGGAGGGCGACTGGGTCTTCCTGGCCACGTTCTTCTTGTTATCAGTCTCGACAACAGCTGCGGGCGTTGTGACGGACGGGTCGGCAACCGCCGCACGTTGACGGAGGGTGTCTGTGTTGGAGGGCTGGGCGCCGGATGCGGCCACAGCGGCCTTGTTTCCAGCCATCGTGCCAAGGAGAGACGACGTTCGAGTATGTGACTAGGAGGCGCGGAGAGAACGATGTCGAGAGGAGGTCGAATCGAAAAGAACAAACGGGACGGTAAGCCCTCTGCGCAGCTGTGCGATCGACGGGAGGGGAGGGGGGAGGAAGAAAAGAAATGGAGAAAGGTAAGAAACAACAGAGCCTCGTGTGAACACGAAGTAAGAAGAAGAGAACCAAAAAGAAATGAGCGAATGAAAGAATCGAAACAAGATGGCCGTGAAGGGAAACGAAGAAGAGAGGAAAAGGAAAGGGGGTGGTTCTCGCGACGAGAATCAGAACAAGGCAGGGAAGGAGAGAAAAAGCCTATGAAGTTAAAAACACGTTTATGGATAGAGCCAAATAGGAGGCAGGGGCATGGGGTGGCGCAAGGGGTAGGAGGGACAGGTCCAGAAGGAAAGAGCTCCTCTAGCGTACAGGAGACATTGAAAGTTCCACGAGAAAGGAAAGGGCAATGGGCTGATGATGTCAAAATAGGGAGTTGCAGACAAGACAGTGGAAAGAACATGAGATTTTCTGACGACAGGCACCAATTTCATACAGCCCCTAAGAACGCCGAAACCAATTTACAATAACGGCGTCGTGATGACAGGGCAGATGGGGAGGGGGTGTGCAATTGTGGTTGGCAGTGCGAGCGATGAAAGCACCAGATGCTGGCTAGTTCTGGAGAAACTCTACGACTGAGGACGGAATAGGAAGGGAGGGAGCTCTGTTTGCACGCGTAAAACAGTAGACCAGCGCGGCAAGAGCAAACATGGAAAAGGGATGGCGGCTGTGTGGGTGGGACTATGAGCAGAGGTGTCCTTTTCGTATTGATCGAATTGGCTGAGAGCACCAGGATTTGGCGGGAGCGGTAGGCGCAATGCACAACAGCTGATAACTAGACGCCAAAATACGCCAAAAACACCGAAAACCGTGCCTGGCCTTACTTGTAGCGCGATTCAGGGCCGCTATTTTCAGCGCCGTTCGTGCCCAGTCCAACGCGTAGAAACCGGGCGGATACCCTGCAGCCAGGACCCGTGTGCTGCAAACCGTGGCGGTGGGCTGTGTGCGGCAGGGGTGCTGCAGGCCCGGCCAGCTCCAAAAACCCAGCCAGCACTTCTGGGATGCTGGGGGACTGCTGAACTAGGTAGGCCAATCACATGCAACAGTCAGTGAGAAGCTTCCACCATATGTGGGTCTTGCAGGAGAGCTGAAGTGCATCGAAGAGACAAAGTGTTAGTTTCTAGGCAGGATCCACATAACCGGATCGAGAAACAGAAAAAGGGACAGAAATATTTACGGAGGCATGTTGGAGGAAACAAGCAATGACAAGGAAAAGGGGGACGAACGACATTGCGGCGTCGAAATATTAGAAAAGCAATTCCGGGTTTTGACGTTGTGTGTTTTCATGGAAGAGCTATAATGTGACATATTAAGAAACTGCTTCAAGCGCAATACCCCTACACGAGATAAGGTATCTTACTACGAAATTATACGGTGGTACAGAAGTAGACCGCAGCGAAGTGAGGCAATGAGACATAGTTTGTCAGTTGACGACACCCATGCAAAGAAGATCTGTGAACTCGCGCTGATAAGGGAACGATGTGTTTTGAAACACAAACACAATATCAACGGCGTCAGGGGCTGCTTTCACCCTGGGCTCAGCCTTCTGCGTTAGCAGCTCTAGTTGCGTTGTTCGGTTCAATCGGCGTCGTAATTCGGGCTTCACTAACATTACAATATCGTCCGAGAAGGCTTTCCGTTTCATGTTTTGCGTTCATGACCTAAAAACAAAATATGTGTTCACGCATCATTGAAGATGGATCCCCGATCAACTACACACAATACAAGGAAGAAACCCGTATGACGTACAAAAATATATTTCCCACCCAAACAGCAACCAACGACAGGCAATGTGTTGATCGCCGAGGCAGCATCGAGTGGACGACACAGACGGGCAGAAAAACAATCGGGCAGCCAAGCTTTCCAAGTCTGTTAACCACGGCCAGACCCAGGCCGCAACGTGATTGCCGCTGCTAGCTCTGGGGAAACTGCTGAGACTGCACCCCGGCACAATTGATCGGCCTCCCGTCGAGGCTGCACTTGGGCCAGGAATACGTGGTCGGCTACGTAAGCCTTGTCAGTGCTCCAATTAACCCGCGGCTTATTTGGCACCCATTTTGCTGTTCTGGTGCATCTTTTGAACCCTTCTTTGCAGGTAGGCATAAGACATACTCTATCGGTTCTATTAAGATGTGGCTGGGCCTGAGGATCGACAGAAAGCTTGCCACAATTAACCGTGAAAATGCACATTCTTACTTTGATATCATATCCAACAGTCGTGTCCATCCCTTATACTGTCGTTCCATATGGAGGAATTGAGCGATATCTCGTTATGAATGCAGCGAATAAAGACTTTGTTTGGGAATTCCCAAACTGCGAGGCGATTCGAAAGCCAGTCTAGGTTGGTGCTCCTTTTCCCGGCTGTATTTCATGTGCAAATAGCCTCATCATCCGGGGGTTGATCGAATATGATTGATTGTAGTTGTGGTCTCGGCTAGATCTGGACTTGTCAGCACAACTGCTGTTATTGGCGCTGTTTGCGACTAGACACCTGAAGGCGGTCAACAAAATAGCCCAATGCTTCGGGACACCAGCAGAATGACAGAACTGCCACTGCCGTAAAGTGTTGGGCACGTGCAGCCGGATACTTCGCGCACAGCTGCCCCACAGATGTCCAGACAGCCCCCACTGTTCCGTCCGCCCCATCCCTACTCCTTCGTCTTTTGGCCACTGCCATTTCTGGTGCAGTTGCTCACGATTTCCGTTCCCGTTGGACCCCTTGTGACTCAACAAAACATGCCTCTGTTGCGCTCTCTGCCTCTCCCCGTGGCTCCTTATTAGACACCTCTCGTCCTCTTTTGTCTCGTCTGTTTTGGGCTTGTGATTCGTCCATCAATGTACGACATATTGCCACTTTGGTTTTCATCTCCAGCGCCACAGTCGCCCCATCATTTTGTTGTCAACAAGACATCGTTATCGGCATAGCTGCTCTTTTTTTTTTTGGCCCAATGCCCTCTCTTGTTCCTGACTACATCATTAATCCCGTCTTGCGCCAAGCACGCCGACTCTCGTCCAACTTCAACTCCCCGGGTTCCGAAACGCCGCTCGACCAGCCACTCGGGTCGTCAGATCTAGATTCGTCGGCACTTGACGGCGATGAGATTGCCGAGCCGTCACAAGGGCCGCAGCAGGCTGGCGGGGCGTTAGGCGGCCAGACAACCGCTCAAGGCCCGTCTGGACTGTCACGACTTTTTGCTTCCGCACGCTCCTTAACTTCGAGTCCCTCCGCGAACACTTTTGCTGCCGAAAGCCCGGTACCATCACCGTTTCGTTCTCAAAATACATTTCCTCGACACAGCCGTACGACTTCGTTGCAGACACAGCAGGAACAAGATCATGAAGACCAACTGGTGTCTGGATCAGGCATCGCCGTGGCTGCACTGTCAACTTCAGCACCGCAAGGACAACAGGCGCATCGACGCAGCAATGCAGCCGAGATCGGGCTTGAAGACCCCTTTGGGTTGCTGAACGTGGCGGATGAGGCTGGGGAGCATACTGGTGGAGCTGGCCAAGGGTCGCTTGCGATGGGTACCCCGGCCTCCCTGCCGACGGGGTTCTATGGGAATATAGAACTGCCCGAAGACGACGGCATGCAGGCCTTGCGGCGGCGCATCCTGGCGGTGCAGTCGCGCGACATTGCCGCAGAGGACAAAGCGAAGATGATGCACAGCCTGTTGATGGAAAGCTACCAGCGCTCGAGGAAAACCGCGTTTCCACTGCGGCCTGTGACACCATCAAGCCCACCGGCTACTGCAGCTTCGATCCGGGACGAAGCGCCAGCATCATTTGGGCCGCTCGAGTCCCTCAAGTTTTGGCACGCTGCGTACTCCCACGGAACATCACCGCCACAGATGCAGACATTTAGTCTCACCGAAGACGACATACGGCCGACCTACGTACCGGACACGAATGTGACAGGCGACGGAATTGCGCGGGATGAGGAGGGAAGGCAGCTGCTGGGCTGTGAGCACTACCGCCGGAATGTGAAGCTGCAGTGCGATACGTGCGAGCGCTGGTATACCTGCCGGCTGTGCCACAATGACGCCGAAGAACACATCCTGCCGCGCCGTGACACAAAGCATATGCTATGCATGCTCTGCGGCCATGCACAACGAGTCGGTGATGTATGTGCCAACTGCGGTGAGTCGGCTGCACGCTATTATTGCAGCATCTGCAAGCTGTGGAATGACGATCCGGACAAGAGCATCTATCACTGCAACGACTGCGGCATCTGCCGTGTCGGTGAAGGCCTAGGCAAGGACTTTTTCCACTGCAAGGTATGTTTATGTCGTGTCGATTTCTTTTTCGTACTACTTTATTGTATATGTTGTTGTTCCTAACGATCTGTCTAAGAAATGTGGTTCGTGCATTGCAATCAACCAAGAAGAGTCGCACCGCTGCCGAGAAGGTGTCATGGACTGCGACTGCCCTATCTGCGGCGAGTACATTTTCACGACGCACAAAAAGGTTGTCACAATGAAGTGTGGCCACATGATCCATGACGACTGCCGCGCCGAGTACATCAAGCGGTCGTACAAGTGTCCCATCTGCAACAAAAGCGTCGAGAACATGGAAAGCATGTTCCGCCGGCTTGACAAGCACCTGGAAGAACAACCAATGCCCGAGGAATATGCCAACACGCGCGCTGTCATTTTGTGCAACGACTGCGAGGCAAAAACATCCACCACCTACCACTGGGGTGGCCTGCGATGCGAGGTCTGCCTCTCCTACAACACCGTTGAGCTTCTCCTGCTCAACCCACCAGCAACACACGACGGGCAGAACACTGCTGCTGAGACGGGCCAGAGCACGCCCGAAGATGCCTCGGATGCGGCAGGAATGGCAGCGACAGAGGGCAGCACCGCCGTTGGTTCCCAGCTGGGGATTGCGGCTCACAGCGCACTACAACCAGCGCCTTCTGTCCCGTCGACACCATTGTCGTCACGTCCACGGCCAGACAGCGGCATAGCCCTCGCCCATCCTAGATCCCCACCGCTGATGTCTTTCCGGTCCGCCTCGCCGGCCTTTATGACATCGCCTACGCGGGCGCCCGTTCTTGCGACTGCACCTCCCGGCTACTCCGAAGAGGGCTTTCAGTTGGAAGGTGACGAGGACGATTACCAGCAGTCTTCTGACATGGAGGACGGTGACATTCTTGGCCTTTTTGATCGCCATGCTGCCTTGTCATGGGGGAGACGCAAAGTCAGTCCATATTTCGGCGGGGGCAAAAAGGACGACTCGGACGCCGACAACGATGAAAGTGAAGACGACGACGATGATGATGATGACGAAGACGAAAACAACAACGAAGACGAGGAAGAGGACGATGATGATGACGAGGAGCCGATCCAGCTGTTTGGGCACCGATAGTGTTATCCCCTCCAGTTGACTATTGCGCCACCTCTTCGACGCAGTAGTACGTAAGGTCGACCTCCCGTTTCTCAACGCAACTGATTACAAAATACAGGACGGGAATTTTTTGTTGAAAAAAAAAAGAATTGTGTTTTGACAATTGTCATCATACCGGGACCGACGAGACTCCCAACAAAACCGGGGAATCCACTTTGGTCATCCTTGTCTCCCCAAAACCACACTTGGACATTTTCGGCAACGGTACATGCATGCAGACATACGGAGTACTTGCATGATATAGACTGGATACTACAAACCACGACTTTTGACAACGACGCATGAGGCATGATACAAAATTTTCTTTTTTTCTGTTTGCTGTTCCCTTCTTTTGTTCTGTTTTGCTTGTGCATTTATACGGCGCATGGGACAAGGAACATATATAGCGTATAGCGAGACTTTTGGGTATTTCACGCATGGCACAAACACGCAGACGATACGCATATATGCATAACAAGGACGTTTGGGGTCCGACGTGCCTGTTTTGGCCGTTTTTCATTCTGTCTATTTTCATATGCTTGTTTTGTCTAGGCACGATTCTTTGCAGCTTTCAACAAACTTGGATAATGGGACACATGCGATTGTGACAAGGATTTTCGTTGTTCCTTTTCCTTAACCGAAAGGAATTCCTATTTCTGGTGTCTTTCAAATTGTTACATCGTATAGTGGCAGCAAAATGTTATGTATTGTTTATCTTCAGCACACTTTTTATGCTCGTATTGCCTCATACTGAGAGGCATTTGCTTCGCGCAAATCGTCGAAGGGTCGCTTGCGACGTGGTGTTGACAGGTATGTCGATGTGTCCTTGCAGGCTACAGTGCGGCCTCTCATGCCATGTTGTCCTTTATTCAAAGCGATGCCACTTAGTAGTCTGTCCAGACGGTATCATGGGCCTGCAGCCAGAAGCCCGTTCCATATGTCAATACAGACGGTCCTGTTCAAACACGCGTTTTCTGCTCCCAGTCGCCAGTCCATATACGAATCGACGGCATCCCTGTCTAGGTCTTGTTGGGTACGGGGTCCATCGGCTTTGATGTTTTGACCATTTTGCCTTTATTCCTGTGGGCATGCTGAAGTGTTTTGTTTTCGTCCAATCGTGTTCTCGTTTCGTCGTATTGTATGCTGTCGGTACGCCATTCCGGCACGGTCTCGTCATCGTAACTCAGGCCACCATCAATCTATCGGTTCTGTTGCGTCGCCATGTATTGCTCCACCTGCTGGCCTGTCTCGCGCAGCTTCACCACAGCTCTCTTATGTGGAGGAACGGTATAGTTAGCGTGCTGGACGCGCTGATTTTCGTGCCGGACGCACTCATTTTATGGACAAAACGGTGGCGAGGGAAAATACATACTGCTAGGGCAACGGGACTGACGCCATTCTCGATCATGGAGATGCAGATTGACAGCGTGCGGCGGTCCAGCTGGCAATTCTATTTGGACAGAAAACAGTCAGCAAAAAGCGCGAAACGGCGGATTGGCGAAACGGCGGGAAAGCGCGTCGCTTGGGCACGAACAAGGATGGTGGACATCTCGTGAAGGATGTCGACGGCAGCCTGGGCGGCCGCCTGTTTTTCAGTGTGGTCGGCGGGCATGTTGACGCTGAGACAGTTGCGGAGTTGTGTGTTTGTTGGACGTTGCAAAAGTTGAGGTTGTGTTGTGAACGGATTGGAGATTGATTTTAGCGCGATGCGGGGAGAAGGCAGGCGCGACGCTGCGCATGAGGTTTCCTGCCACACACGGCGCCCCACATCGTCGTACAGGGCGTAAAGTAGGGAGTATGACTTCGAGTACTCGTCGCCTTGGATCCCAGTAACATTTCTTGTTTTTTTTCAAGCAAATAATAATCACGGCTGTCAGCTTTGAGTCTTTAACCCATCTGCCTCGCTGGATTTTCAACATTTGGAAAAAGACACAGATATTGCATGGCTCGTTATACATTCCGGAAAGTAGAAACAAAAACATGAAACCAGAGGTATCCAAAAGAACCAAAAACGCCTTGTCTGCGCCCGTTCGTCCAGTCCGTAGTACAGTGACCCAATCCCTTCCAATGTCATTATGCCAGAGAGGGCCCTTTGGCCTCCATTTGGCCTCTTGCACCCGCGCTCTTGTCGTCTCCAGTCTATACAGACGACTTCATCGCTTCGACAAACAGCTCCCGCATCCCTTTGAGCAGCACCACCAGCTCCCGCGTCTCGTTGACACGCTCGAGCAGCCGGTCGACCTTTTCGCGCTCCAGTTTCGGCCGGCAGTGCCGCACGGCGTAGTCGCGCTGCGCCGTATCCAGCTCGAACCACGCCTCACGCGCCCAGTCCTGGTCGTCAATGTGTGTGTATACGAAGCGCAGACGGTCATCGTTTCCGGCACCCTCCATGGTGAGGCACAGATTGGTGACCCAAAAGTCGAGTTCGGGCACGTTGAACCGCGCCTGTGCCTCGCGCTGCCGGGCGCGAGCTTGCTGGGCGGCGATCTTCGCATCGATGGCCCGCTGCGTGTCGGCGACCTGGCGCGCGAGGGCGTCCCGCTCGGCTTCCTGGCGGTCGCGTTGGCTTTCGAGTGTCGCGATGGCCGCCTCCATCTCCTGCTTCTCTTGTTTCTCCTTGGCCATGGTCTGCTGGAGGCTGTTGGACTTGAGCTGCACAATCTCAACGTCCCGCTTGCGCATTCGTTCGTCCTCTGCAATTGCGTTAGCTCTGTGCAGGCATCTCGTTGTCGCCCGCTCACAGACTCCAAACACGTACCCTGTAGTTCTGCCACGTTCATCCGGAACTGGTTGCGCTCCTCGAGCACCCGCTTGCGCCCCTGCTCGATGAAGCCGTCGAAGCGGACTGTGAAGCGTGCCATGCGCTCACGCAGCGCATCAAAGCCAAAATCAATGCTCGGCAGCTGGTCTGCCATGGACGGTCCTGTCGGCGCCGTCATCTGCCGGCTCGTCGACATGGACGGCTCGAATGTCGTCAACATTGTGAGGGATATGGGGTTCCCGTTGACGTCGGTATGTTTGGTGATTTGCAGGTCGTATTGTATGTGACAATGCCGCAAGAGCAGGGAAAGGACGTTCGATTGTCGCGATATCTGGGCGTCGCGTTTCGTCGTGCGCCGTTGATTGCTTTGCAGTTTGCAACGGTGAAATGGAGTGTCGCGATTCTGCCGCTGCGCGCCATTGTTTATATTGTATTTCTTCTTTGGGACTAGGGCCTGTCGCTCTGGTGATTTTGGCAGGTGCAGTGCGGCGTCTTATTTTTCCTGCCGCGTCCAGCGACAGTGGACCCACATTTCAGCGTCTAGCGTCCCAGCTTCACTTCACCAGCAAAACGAAGCTTTACTTTTGGGATTGAAGAAACAATCAATGCATGACAGCTTTGCCCGCATTCAATTTTCTTGAATACTGGTGTCATTTCTCATTTCTCGTGTGCTCTCAACTTTTTCACATAATTGAGTAATATTGACCGCACTCGGCTTGTCACGCACCTGCTACAAGTCAGCGACTCGCAAGCCCATCATCAAAACATGACATTATCGCCTCAGACTTTTGCGAATACGCCACACTCTCACCTAGATGGCTGAGAGGCACCGTCCCGGGCAGTTTGCGGGTGCAAAGGCCCTGCCTACCAGTCTTGTGCGCGACCACCGTGCCAATCACTTGGTGTTTGGCCACCTCGGCCGGCTGACTTATGTCTCTGCCAATAATCACGATGACGGCCACGACGACGATGTCGACGCCGAAGACAGAAAGGCAGCCGTTGGCAAGCTGCTCACGAACCGGTCTCCCGGATTAGGTAGGTTGATACCAAAGAGCTTGGTGACTTTGTGCTTTTGTTTTCCCTGGGCCGCTTGCTCACCAAAGCTAGTGTACACATTTCAAGAAGTCGCTCGCTTTCAGGAGTGGTACCCACCGACGGCGGTAGACGTCTCTAGTGTCCGTACAGCGCCGAATTCGTATCTGAACAAGCTTCTCGTAGATGCCCCCGAGGCTCTGGAAGGGATGGCAGGGCCGCTGTATGCCGGTTTTCTCCAAGAGGCTCTGGAATCTGAGCTATATCAGTCGCCTCGGACAAGACTGCCGCTTCTCTCGTATGGCGAGATCACAGACATGAGCGGCCGCGAACCTGTCGCCCGCCCTGCACTGGCCATGCCCACGGGCCAGTCGGGCAATGCCCTGCGCATCGTGCAGGCTCGGGCGGAGGACTGGGGCTGGAGCACCGACGGAAGCGCAACAATGAAGCTGACCAACATCGATCCCGAGGACGAAGGCCACTGGTGCGACAACGCCCTGACGATCAACCAGATAAAGTTCACCACGGGCAGCACCGACTACGTCCACGGGACAAACAACAATACAAAGCGGCCGCTGAGGTGGATTCTCGTCCAGACAGCGGCCGAGACCATCATCTTCCAGCCGACGCTGCACGGCGTCCCCGTCCAGAAGAAGCATTGTTCTTGCCATGACGTCGTGCGCGGCCTGACGTACATTACAGCGGACCCGTTTATCCGCATTGCGACTAGCAAGACTGGTGGCCGCGCCCACTGCGACGTGGCATTCAACCCGGCCACCGAGACGAATCCGCCGCAGATTGCCATTATCGACGAGGGCGGACAGTGGACGATCTGGAACATTACGGGCAGCAGGCATACACGCAAAACGGGTTTGCTGCCGTTTTTGCACACAAGGGGCACCGTTTCTCATGATCCTGCTGCAGGCCCGCCGGTCGTCACTCAAGATCTTGGTCATCTGCACAGAATTCTTTGGCTGCCGAAAGTCGACGAGGATGCGCCCCAGTCAAACACGCTCCTGGTCAACAATGCAACGTCGGTCAGTACTACCGCCGTCGAAAAGCCGGACGGTGTCTTGCGCACGTGCAATGCCGTGCACAGTATCGGTGTGGATATTGTCCTCGATGTCCAGGTGTCGCCGGTCAACACGGCCCATGTTTTTGTTTTGACGACGACCAATGTCTTTTGGCTCGACCTGTCGCCACTCCAAGCTGCACGAGCGTCGGGAGTCTCGTCAACGCCGTCAAAGTCGTCAAAATCGCCAAAGCTGACGCAGCCTCTCCTCCTACTTTCCTGCCCCCACTTGCGAGGCCCTGACGATAAAACGTTAAAGATATCTGTGGCCAAGGCCGAGTCGTATCAGGGCAACGATGTGGCTGTTGTACTGGTATATTCTATGAAGCACCCCGAGGTAGCCGTTTTCTGGTTTCAGCAGTCCTCAGATGGAGAGGAGTCGACATTCCAGCAACAGGTCTTTCAGCTGGCCCGTCCACGCTTTGGTCCGCATGGTGACAAGACGAAGTCCCGCCTTCGCGGCCAGCAGACGATGGTTTTGCTCCCTAAAATCGTCCAAATACGCGGGACCAACCCGAAACACATTGGACCGATCGGATGCGAATACGCACAGAAGGGCGTGACTGTTTTGCAGATACTGACACTGGGTGCCGACCTGAGTTTCTGGTCGTCTCTGTGTGTGAGCTCGTCGGGACCCAAGCCTGTGAGGCTGGCCCCTTTCCCTCCTGTCTTAAAAAGGAGACACTCGGAACGACAGGGCAAAACCGAAAAGAGGTGGAAGGCCGGCTCCAGATATCTTCGAAAAAGTTTTGTAGTCTCCGATGGGATTGAAGAGCACCTGCTCTGCACAGGTCCTTTGACCGGCCAGAACAGCCAGCGGGGACTGCCCGCAGGGAGCGCTTTTTACATGGGCAACCGCTCTGGCCGACCCGTCGAGGTGTATAACATGGCTCGACTCTTCAATCTCCTGAACAGACACATGGACAAAGCTGCAAAGTCGGCTTACGAGGCGACCGACATGGTCCGCGGGTTTCAGAATCCATCGCCGCTAGACATTATTCGGCAGATTCTCGACATTGCCACTGAGCATGGAAGCTTTGCCTACACGACATTGTACGTGTAAATCTCAGTCATATACCGACCAGGATTTGTCTTTCAGTCCTCTCCATCATGCTAACACTGATAGGCTCAATATTTCCAACTACGACTACATCCTAGAGTACGGGGCTGATCTTACCGATTACTCTTGGACGCGGCAGCTCGCAGAAGTCGAGATTGGGCCGATTGAAGATAGCCGCGTGTCCATTTCGAACCAGATGCTAGAAGGAGAGGTCCGAAATGGCGGCGCATCGACCCTGTACGACACAATGGCAGGGCTCTGTCTGATTGACAAGGTGGGTGATGGCCAGGGTCATAACAGTGCCGATGCACGCCGTCAGGGTCTTTTGGCCTTTGCGACTGTGCAGCTGTTCTTCTCGCAGATCAGCATGGTCGTTATGCCACGCCAGATGGCTATGGGCGGAAGCGCGAGAACCACGCCAGGGGTTGAGGACGGCGGACTCAGCTCCGCTTCAACGCCTTACTCGGCCCACTTTCCCCGGTCCGACGCCGAGTCGCGCTTCCGCAACCACCTTTCGTCGTCGCCGGCGCTGTCGCAGCTGCGGGAACCACCATCGTCTGCCCGCGGCGGAATTCCAGCCTGGCTCCCGTCTTCGTCACAAGACGACGGTAAAGGCAGTGGCGGTGGCAGCGGCGGCGGTGTTGGTGGTATCCTGCCATCACTCGAGGGTGGCGACGAGGCCGAGGCGGACAGCAATGGGCAAGTGTCGATGGAGGAGGCGCAAGAAGATCCTGTTGTGGCGCGCTTGCGTCAGTACGCCAAGTCCATTCGGTCGGAGCCGACACGCAAAGAAGGCGAGCTGCGCTTGTTGTCGCACTGGCAGCTCGGCAGCGACCCAGAGCAGTTCCAGTGGGTGCCCTTGGGAGCGGCAGGTGAGGCCGAGGAAGAGTTGCGCCGCCGGGCGCAAGAGGCCCAGGAGCGGCGGCGCAGACGCATGGAAAAACGGGCCATACGGGACCGCGACCGGTTGCTGATGTTAGGCGGCGGTCTGGGAGGAAGCAGCATGTCGTCGCCCGCCGTGCCGCGCATTCAGCCTAGCAGCCAGATCTTGCCAAGCCAGATTGTGTCGAGCCAGGTCATTCCCGGCCAGAGCCAGAGCCAGATGCACAACACCATAATGTCGAGCCAGGTGATGCCGTCGTCGCAGCCTACCATCCACAGAGGAGGACCGTTGAGTCAGCGGCCCAAGAAGAAGAAAAAGCCCAAAGTGGCACGCGGGTTCAAGTGAGCCCAACGTGCCGGCTTATATTGCATGTATATACTATACTGTACGATATACCATGGGAAAAGTAAAGTGACCAACGTCCAAAAAGTTGATTGATTCATAAGAAACGGCGAAAGAAAAACTGTCGCTTTATCCGACACGAAGCAAAACGTGTAGGACGGAAACGTCTCTCTGTTTAGCAAAAGAAATAAAAATAAAAGTAAAAAAAATGAGAGACCGTAACAGTTCGAGGCTGTCGAGACTAAACCGTGGAGAATACACCGGTTAGGATGGCTCAGCTTTAAGCCATACTCGATAAGACGTTGCAGTCAATGTACGATTGTTCATATGAATGCAATTTTGTGGTTGACACATGTGTCCAGTAGATCATCTGTGCCTTTCTTCCTTCGTACGTCTCTGGCCCAACTTTTTCCTATCCAATATCCAAAAATAAGGGGCTAGGCCAAAAGACCTGGACAGACTCAGACTCGTTGGCGCATCAATATGGCGTGGTCCATCTCATGGCACGCTCAGCACAAAGCCCAGGCTTACGAACACGGCCCTCCTAATCCCACTCGTCGTCCGACTCTTCATTATCTGCGTTTTGTTAGAAAAGGTTTGACAGGTACTTGTGTGGAGAGCACTAAACGAATGGAAGGGAACAAAACATACCACTCTTGCTGACTTTCTCCTTGCGTTTCTGCAGCTCCGCCATCAGGGCCAGCGAGCCTGCAACGTTGCCGCCGCCACCAGCACCAGCCGGTGGCATCCCACTACCAGCCGGGCCGCTGTCTGCACTGCGACCGCCCACTTGTGCTTCACTGCGATCGCGAATCTGACTCCTGTCCACCTTCTTCAGTGACTGAATGCCGCCTGCATTCTGGATGCCCGCCAGCACTGCAGATCTGTCTTGGCCAGGCTTCGGCAGGGGCGGTCCACCACCAGACGGCGGCGGAGGTGGTCCAGGAGGTGGAGGCGGGCCGCCCATACCACCAGGCGGTGGCGGCGGCGGAGGAGGTGGAGGAGGTCCACCAGAGCCACCTGGAGGCGGGGGTGGAGGGGGTGGTGGTGGGACACCGCTCATGCCACCGTTGGGGTGGGCAGGAGGAGGAGGTGGTGGTGGTGGCGGCGGAGGAATAGCGCTCATGCCACCGTTGGGGTGGGGCGGAGGGGGTGGTGGTGGTGGAGGTGCCGCCGAGGGACCAGAGTTCCGTGCAGGCGGCGGAGGCGGCTGCATGGGGACAGGGCGCGTGTTGGAAGGCGGAAGGGGAGGGGCACCTCCAACTGGGGGCCGTGGTGGCGCCGGTGGTGGTGCAGATTCGCGTGCTGGTAGGGGCGGGGCGGGGGAGCCAGAGTTGCGGCTGGCTGGAGGCGGGGGAACGTTGCGCTGGCCATTGAAGGGTGGAGGCACACCAAACCGGCGTCCACCGTTGCCGTTGTCGTCGTCGTCGATGGCCGTTTTTGGAGGGCGCGGTGGCGGCGGAGGACCCGGTGTGGCTGGCACGGGACGGCTCTGCTGTTGCGGCGGCATCCTCGAATGCGCGAACTTACCGGCATCGGCGAGGGCCGGTGGCACAGCGTACTTGGGCCGCGGCGGGGACGGCTCACGGGGGGGTTCGGGCGGCGGTGGCGGCGCGGCGGGTGTTGGGTCAGTTTTGGCACCATACCGGCGAGGCGCAGGTGGTGGAGGCGGCTGGCCACCTGCCCGTTTGGCTGCTGCCGCACCACCACTCACACCACCTCCAGGAGGAGGCGGTGGTGGTGCACGCATGCCTGGCCCACCAGACGCCGCAACAGCAGCAGTTGCTGCAGCAACTGCAGTAGAGGGTGCAGCAGACGGAGGTGGCGGAGGCGGCGGGGCCGCCGCTTGTGGAAGAGGCGCTGATGCTGCTGGCGCTGGCGCTGCGGGTGCCGGTGCAGAGTGTTGTCGCAAGAAGTCGACGATGAAGTCCTGGTTGTCGCGGATGAACTCGTCCGTGAGACCCTTGGCCCGCAAGTCGTCGCCAAAGTGTTCGCGCCAGTTGGGGTCGAAGGCGTCGAGAGTCGCAAACTCAGACGGCGGCGTCGGGCCGCGGCCGCTGTTGATACTACCTGACCGGCCGTGGCCGAATCCAGAGCCTTGGCCCGGTCCGTAGCTCCGTGGAGATTCGGGTGGTGTAGGTGCGGATGAGTGGCGGTGGCCGCTGAAAATGCCGCCGAGTCGCGAATGCTTGTGACCACCTGTCGTTGCGGGAGCGGCGCCACCGAAAGGCATGGCACGCGTGGCCTTGCTGGCGTTCTTCTCGCGGTCGTCCATCTTCTTTTTGAATTGCTTGGCCTCCTTCTCGTCGGCAAAAGACAGCCCCGCGAGGCAGTCCTCCAGCTCAAAGGTGTGGAAGAAGACACGGTCCTGGTTGTAGTTCCACGTGTCGTAGATTTCCTGGTCCCAGATTACACCACGGTTTCCGGACTGCACGGGTTAGCCAAAGTTAAGACGAAGATGCAGGGAAAAGAGAGCGAATGCAAAGGGGAAGAAGAAGGATAGGGAGAGATCACGAGGGAGACGTACGGAGATGTCCACCATCTTAATCCAGAATGTGTTGCCGACAAGGTCGTTGCAGAGCACAGCTGCGCCCTGGAGACCGGTGTCCGTCCATTTTTGGCGGTTGGGAAAGGCGATGTAGAGCTTGGCGACGGCGACGGCTTGGATCTTGTTGTTTGCCTTGGGCACGAAGCGCTTGACGGTCTCCTTGTCGGCTTCGCTCAGGACGGACGGCATGGTGTGTACGGGGGAGGGGGGAATTGGAGGAAGAGCGTCGGCTGGTCGTCGATATCAGACCGTAAAGCAGTAAACATGAAAGACCTCGACAGCACGCGGCGTCGGACTACCGAGAAATCGAGATGCCCCTTTTGGGCAAATGAGCAGGCGGGCGATAATATGAGGCAGGCAGACGGGTAAAGGAGCGAGCGACGCAACAGCAAATGGGGATGGCGCCTGGCGTGCTGGCTAGGTCGGGCGGCAATGTCTCGAGGTCGTGGCCGCCGAGATCAGCAGCATGCGTGGGCAGTCGATTTGTGAAACAAGACGTGAGGGTGAACAGGGAACGAGAGTCGGCGGAAAAGGGATAAAGAGCCCGATGCGTGCAATGAGGGCGGCTGGCAGACCGATGTGGAAGGCGTGAGGCAGGGTGAAGAAATGGAAGGAGGGATGGAATCCAACGGCCAATGAATGGCAAGATTTGGCTACGCACTCGGATTCGCTGGGCTTCTGTCGGGCACCTTCCTTTGCTGGGCTGCTGGGCTGTTCGCTGGGCGGCGCACAAACGACCACGCACGTCCTCTGGCGCTACGCTCACTTGGGTAAGTGCCTAAGCTGTGGCTACAGCGGGCTGTGAGGGTGACCGCAGCTGTGCAAGTGCTTTCGTCGTAGCCTACAAAGTAGGCAGGAGGAAGATGGCATTTAGCGACATGGAAAGTGCAAATGCACGAAGTCGAGGGAACGAGGAACAAACAGCCCCTACAAAATATGAGTAGTCCATCGTAGCTGCTTCAATTGCGCGGCATTCGGTTTTCCGGAATCAGTAAGAATACCTTTTGCGCCACTCTTTCCGTGTTTCATAGAAGGCAAGGACGACGAACACACGAGACAGCCCAGCGACGGGAGCTGAAGTGGCAGCCACCAACATGCTCTTACAGGCGCCACTTTGAGCACAGCCCCTGGACAAAGGCCTCTGGCACAGTGCTCAGGGGCATCCCACTGTAAACTAGGGACAGCACCGCTGTAAGACTACGTAATTACGCCATCACACGACGGTAAATTCACAACACGACGTTAATGGAGACGTTTCAACTGTAGAAAGATTTCAATTGTTCCAAGAATAGTTGTCTTTGGCGGCTCTATCGTGGCCTCCCGTCTAATTGTCCTTGTTCAGCGCCTCCGCCTTTGCCCGTCTCTCCTCCTTTGTGCCCTCTTGCGGTACGCCACTAGCACTGTTCAGCAAGACCGGGCCGGGGTTTCCCTGGTGGGCCGAGAACTTGTCCTTGGCCGCCTCGAAGAGTCCGTGCTGGTGCTTGGGGGCGTCGGGCTGGCGTTGGTTAGCAGGAGCGGATAGAATGAGGCAACGAAAGCGGTCTGCCGGTGCCGCAGATTTTCTCACCTTGGAGGGATCTTCCACCTGCGTGGAGAACTTGGGCTCAGAGTTGGAGGAGTTCGACATTGTAAATGGATTCAGTTGTAGAGATAGGTATTTGATGGTTTGTGCGTTTGCAAAGTTGTTGCTGATCTTCAAGTCTCGTGTCTATCGCGTCTTGTCTCTTCTGTTTGTTGTTATAGACAAGAATCTTGATGCCTAGAGACAGAGGCTGCCATCTATATATGGCTGACGAGCTCCTGCCGAAAACGATGACGTCGTCCCACTTACGCAGGTGGGTTGCTCCTGTCACAGCATCATAGCGGGAAGGTGCGGCCGGTTTGGGAGGCCTAAACTGCTCGTGTGCATTTAAAGTATTTCTCCACAGTGGCACGTGACTTCGCGAGGAAGGCGAGTTGGGCCTCCTGCCTAGAGCAGGTCAAGCCTGTTTCACGAATCGTCATAACTTGCGTGTTCTCGATCGATGCTCTTCCAGCTCGGCCAAGTCTTCGCACTGCCGCATTCAGAATTCTTGTTTGGGTGCACCCTCTGACGCACGCTGTAGGCCACCCACACGCGCACCTTAATTACACCATCAAAACCACACTCGCCACGCCATGACGACACAGCACTGGCGCCCCGCATGTCGTCGTCTTCGTCGAGCGCGCCGCAGCCGGTGAAGTTGTCGCTGCCGCTGGAGTACCAGCAGAATCTTTTTCAGGAACTGCGCACCGATGATGAGCTCGTCGTGCTAGCACGGGGGCTGGGCCTCATGCGCCTCGTCACTAACCTGCTGCACTCGTACGATGCCGCGGGCAACAACTTGGTGCTCGTTGTCAATGCCGACGACCGTGAGAATGGATGGATCGGCGAGGCATTGGCCGAGCACGCGGCCATCAGCATGGCACCTCGCGCTCGGGGCCTGACCGTCGTCAACACGGACTTTACAACGGTCGGTGCGCGCGAGAAGATGTACGCGGCCGGCGGCATTTTCAGCGTCACGTCGCGCATCCTCGTTGTCGACCTGCTGACGAGCCTGCTCAACCCGACCGCCATTACGGGTGTGGTGGTGCTGCATGCGGACCGTGTCGTAGCCACGTCCCTGGAGGCCTTCATTCTCCGCATCTACCGCCAGAAGAACAAGGTCGGCTTCCTCAAGGCCTTCTCAGACAACCCGGAGGCGTTGGCAACGGGCTTTGCACCGCTGGCCACCATGATGCGCAATTTGTTCTTGCGGAAAGCGTCTCTCTGGCCCCGGTTCCACGTCACCGTTGCCACGGCCCTCGAGGGCAAGAAGCGCGCCGAGGTCGTGGAGTTTGAGGTTGCCATGACCGACAGCATGCGCGACATTCAAAACGCGATTCTCGAGTGCGTCGAGGTCAGTATTCATGAGCTGAAAAAGTCCAACACAGGCCTCGACATGGAAGACTGGAATCTCGACAGCGCGCTGCTCAAGAATTTCGACGTGATGGTGCGCCGTCAGCTCGACCCCAACTGGCACCGTGTCAGCTGGAAGAGTAAGCAGATTGTCGGCGATCTCACGGTCCTGCGCGGCATGCTGCAGTCGATTGTCGAGTGTGACGCAGTCGCATTTTTACAGCGCCTTGACACGATTCATGCTGCGCACTCGCCGCCGCCTGGATCCACACGCCAGTCGCAGTCGCCCTGGCTCTTCCTCGATGCTGCCCAGACCATCTTTGACACGGCCAAGCGACGAGTCTACACAGGCAAGCATAATTTCAAGAGCAGCAATGGCATGGGCGGCCTTGACGGAAACAACACCAGCAGCAGCAACACTCTACGCCCTGTCCTCGAGGAGCAGCCCAAGTGGAGCGTATTGGGTGATATTCTTGAGGAGATTGACCGCGATCTGTACCTCGCAAGCGTACCACGCGACGACTCCAACGGCACCATCCTGATCATGTGCGGCGATGTTGACACATGTCGCCAGTTGCGCGATTTCTTGCAGACCATGCATGTACGGCCGCGCACCGAATCGAGAGTAGAAGAATTTTTCGACGCTGAAGAAGACCGGCCGTCGGGCGCGTTTATGATGCGCCGCAAACTGCGCAACTATTTGAAGTGGAAGAGCGAATTTGCAAACGTCAATGCGACGCTCTTTGCAGAGAACCAGAAGGCGTTGAGCGGCGCCATCGACCCGCGCACGGGACGCCCTGCGGGTGCGGTCCGAAGCAACGCGCCGGCCAACAAGCGTCGGCGTGTGCGTGGTGGTGGCAGCGGTATGGGCCAAGCCAACACGGCATCGGCCATCGCCTCTGCGTCCGTGTCTGGTGGACGAGCCGCCAACGGCAGCGTCGCACAGTATTTTGAGAAGCCCAACGAGGTCGCTGAGTTGATGGCCGAGATCCATGCCGCGGAGGCAGGGTCCACGCCGGGAACAAGCGCTGATGGCGGCATCAATACAGATGCGGAAATTGCAGCGGCTCAACAAAAAGCCGAAATTCTGGCGGCGTTGGCCGATCCACTGGACGACATGGACGACTTCTATCAGATGTACGACATGAGCGACCTTGTGGTGATCCATGCCTACGACGGCGACCAGGACGAGCACGTACTGGAAGAAGTCAAGCCGCGGTACATCATCATGTATGAGCCAGATGCGGCGTTCATCCGGCGCATCGAGGTCTACCGATCGTCACACAACGACCGCAGCGTACGTACCTACTTTATGTACTATGGCGGTTCCGTCGAAGAGCAAAAGTACCTTTCTGCCGTGCGCCGTGAAAAAGACGCGTTCACGAAACTGATCAAGGAGCGCGCCTCCATGGCGGTGACGCTCACAACGACGGCATCACACAACATCTCCAACGCGGACGACCCCCAGGAGTCCTTTTTACGGACAGTCAATACACGTATTGCCGGTGGCGGCCGGCTGACCACAGCAGCGACGACGCAGCCGCGCGTCGTTGTGGATGTCCGCGAGTTTCGTTCGTCGCTGCCCTCGCTGCTGCACGGGCGCAACATGGCCGTTGTGCCGTGCATGTTGACTGTGGGCGACTACGTGCTTTCAGACCATATCTGCGTCGAGCGCAAGTCCATTAGCGATCTCATCTCGTCGTTCCGTGACGGCCGCCTCTACACACAGTGCGAGACCATGTTCCAACACTACCGCGACCCCATGCTGCTGATTGAGTTTGACATGAACAAATCGTTCACGCTCGAGCCGTTTGCCGACTTGGCCTCATCGTCTTCGTCGAGCTCGAGCGTGATCCCCAACCCACAAAACGCCAACGACTTGCAGAGCAAGATTGTGCTTCTGACGCTTGCATTCCCGCGCTTGCGTATTTTGTGGGCGTCGTCGCCCTATGAGACAGCCGAGATCTTTGAGCGGCTCAAGTCGCACGAAGCCGAGCCCGATCCGGTAGCGGCCGTGCGTGCCGGACTCGACCCACACGCACGTGCCGACGACCAACCTTTTAATCTTGAGCCCCAAGAGATGCTGGCGGCCGTCCCGGGTGTCACACCGGTGAATCTTCGTACACTGGTGATGGAAACGGAAAGCATCGCGGCCATTGCAGCCATGGACGCACCGGAACTCGAGCCCATAGTCGGTAAAGAATCGGCTCGGCAGATTTCCGAGTTCTTTAAAAAGGACATTATTGAAGAGGCTGGGTAAAGGCTGCGTGATACTCGTTGGTAGTTTTTGTTTCCATCCTCACTTCGGTCACAAAATAGATATCCAGAGATTTGCGCATGTGGATTGTATTTATTAGAGTGAAGCGCCTAAATCAGAGCAACAGTTTTCTGATGAATCTAGCAAACTAATGTAAAAAAGACAAGCTATATGTGGATGGGTATCGATGTGGCGGGTTTGTGGAATATTGGGAATCGTTGGTCCGAGGGACAAGCCGAAACGCATCGTAAAAACATAAGACAAGAAGAAACAGAAAAAGTGGCCGAGTCCGTGATCAAATGAAAATGCAACCCCCCTTTCCCCCTCTAGACGAGCGGTGAATGCTGCGCAACGTTCCGTTCCAGGTCATGCGCGGTCGTTACTCGTCATTCGTTGTCGATCCGACTCATGGGCCTCCTTAGACCGCACTGTGGACGCGGCGTCGTCTGCGCAAGCCTCGGCCGCGGAAGCCCTGGCACGTCAGGCAGCCGATAATCTGCAAACAAGCTTATTAGCGTGAAATTTCTTTTGTGACTAGACATTGTTTCGTGAAAAAGACACCGGCTGCGAGGCGACTTACAATATCAAAGATGGCGATGACACCGTCAACAATGAACATGATGATAGCGCCAATGGCATTAGCGATGCCTATCAGGACAGACCCAATGGCCTGGCAAATGCCTTCGATCTATAGGGGTACATTAGCAAAGAGAAAATTAAAAACTCTGAGAAGAAGCTCAAAGAAGCGGCGTCAACATACACAGGACAGGACACAACCCATGTTGACGGTTTGGTAGTGTAGTTTTTTGTGTGAGTTTGTGTATTTTTCGTGTAAGTGGTGGTAGCGAAAGGTTTGTTGTTGTAATTCTGAAGCGACAGAAGAGAATGAGATGAAAGCCAAAGAGAGAGCAGATGTCGGAGAATTTATTCAAATCGAGCTCCTGCTTTATTTTGAATTGCATCGCGCAACGGAAGGCGCAAAAGGACCCAGCACCTGCTCATCTTTCCAGTTCGTGTCATTTGGAGCCTTTGGCGACAGAAAGAGCGAGCCGTGACGTCATCCGCCCTGCAAAAAAGCTTTCAAGCAGGGGTAACAGCCACAGATGTGGGAAGGAACAGACCAACCTGCGCGAGGCAAGGCCCGCCATAGGGTGGCAGAAGGCACTGGATCCCCGAAGAAAAGGAAGCTTTGCTCCTTCCATGCCATTTTTTTTCTCAACGTCGTATTTTGCCATTGTTTTTTTTATTATGAGCGCTAATCGGCAGGGTTCTCTTCTGCGCCAGTCCTTATTTGTGGGGTAGAATGCTGGCGAGACCTGTCCATGGCCCCAATCAACCGCCTGTCGTTGAGAATGGTGATGTCACTACTGCAGCCATATCCAGGATCAAGGCACAAGGAGCTTGCCTTTTTTGCCGTTCAAGCAGCCACCGACGGAATGCAGCCGTGTGCCTTTGGCCATTTGACGAGGCTGATGCGGAGGTAGAAGGGCATTATCCAAATATGGGAGAGTTTAACGCGTTCTCATCATTCTACTTCGAGCCAACGAGGATTCCACTTTCACCACGCGCAAGGTTGATAATGGCCGTTGCAGGTAACGGACTATGAACATGTGGAGTAACCAGGGCAGGGGCCAGAGGCGCAAGAGACGGATCGAACACATGAAGGACTAGGCACAGGAAAGAGGAGGGGATCGGCGATTGAAATGATTACCCGTTCTTTGTGTTTCGTACGGAGTATAACAGGGTACCATGGACAATACGAAAGAGGTCATATGTAAAAGAAAGGAGTCTATTTGGATAATGGTGAGTCTAGCTTGCGACCAAGCTATGAGCTATGGGCCGTTCCTCGGCCGCCGTCTATCGTACAGCGTACAGACATTTAGTAAGATATGTGAGGGGGTTGGTGGTAACAAGACATGGGGTGTTGTTGGTTTGTGCAGTGTGCTCTAATAGTACTTCTTCCGCATCAACACCTCGCGAACCATGCCCAGGCGCCGCAACCGCTCGCGGCTCCGGGCGTCCAACGGCGCATTAGCGAAGCCTGCGGACGTGACGCCGGGTGGCAGGGCTGCAAACGAATTGGCCCAGTCGGCTGTGGTCATGGCGGCGCCTCCACTGCCGCTGGCGGTGGAGGGTCCGTGCATCTTGACGCGCTGCACCTTGCGCAGCTTCACAAGGCCATACCAGCAGACGAGCAGCGAAAAGGCAAACGAGATGCCGGTGACGGAGCCGAAGCCCCAGTTGGTCTCCTCGATAAAGTTCTCGAGGTTCATGCCGTAGAGTCCCGCAAGGAAGGTACCCATGGCGAGGCCGAGTGTGCCGATGCTGAACTTGAGATCGAGCAGCATCAGGGCGTTGCGGTTGGCATCAAGAATGGCACGGACACTGTGGCTGGTTAGCAATGCGTGTGTGAAAAGAGGCATGGGTGCGACAGAGATGACAGATGGATATAGCCAACGGGGCTTAGCGGGGTTTCGTCCTTACATCTCTTCGGTGTTTCGGATGCTCGAGACCAGGCTGCCGGCCTCTTGCGCCACTTCATCGCAGATCTTGTGGTACGACTCCAGCAGCATCTCTACCTCCGTGTGGTCGTCCTCGCCCCGGAACAGGTCGTGCTTCTTCTCCGTCAGGTACATGGCGGCCAGATCGTCGTCGGCCTCGAGCAGCTCTTCGATGGCATCGCGCACCAGCTTGGCCTTTTGCTCAAACGTGCTGACCTTTTTCGACAACACCAACAGCACGCGCAGCTTGTCGCGCGTAATGTCGGCCTCGAGCTCGCTCAGAATACGCAGGATGGGCTCGCGCACCGTGTCAAAGTCGGCTTCCAGCTCCGAGGTCACAGACAGCAGCACGGCCTCCAGCGCCCGGAACTCGTACGGCAGCCCGCCCGCCGCACCCGGTGCCTGTTTCTGCTGCAGCCGACCCTGCAGGTCGTACATGAAGGCCGACTGCGGGTACGACGTCTTGGAGCCGTAGACATCAAACAGCAGCACGCGGTCGGCCTTGATGAGGACCTTGAGGTGCAGCAGGTTGAGCAGGATGGCGGCCGGGCGCACGAGAATGTGCGGCAGGTTCGACGAGTCGATCTTGCGCAGATCCCGCGGCAGCAGCCCGTACTTGGCAATCAGCTCCGTCTTCTTGAACTCGCCGTCCACGAGAATGACCTCGCCGTACTCGTCCACCTCCGTGCACCGCAGCCGCGGCTCCAAAGCGGCCTTGGCCGTCTGCAGCCGCCGCGCATTGAACATGACCGACGCAAACTCGGCCCCGGCACCGTGGTCGGGCAAGTCACCCGGCAGCAGAGAACTCCGGCGGCCGCCTGCGCTCCCGCCCACCTGTGTGTCCGCGCAATCTCTTGGCCCGCTGTTGCGCCAATGCCAGGCCCAGTGCCAGTCCATGGCCCGGTCGTACCACGAGGCACGGGCCACTGGCGATCCAACGGCCCGCTTCTGTCGTTTGTCGGAACGCCGCCATGGGAAAGCCTGGACGGGTTGTGATGTAGAAAAGGGTGTCGCCAACAGCGCCATCTTGTTCAAAGGCTTGCGAGGAATGGGTGGAACGGGCGTCGTCGCCGGCCGCCATCGTGCGCGTAGCGTCTTGGGGATGAGGGTGTCGAGGTCTATGAGGGACGCTTGCAGAACAGGAACAGCCGTCTCACTGACACAGTGCGTGGTGCTGTTCTTTCTGCTCGCCGACGGCACTCGTGACAGCCGTTTCTTGCTGTTGCTGCCGCCGTTACTGTTGTCGTCGGTCACAAACAAAAGCTCTGACTGGTGCCGCAGGAACCGTAAGAGACCCGCCGACGGCGCAGGCTGCAGGCGCACCGGTGACGCCAACATTGTGCCAGGCGAGGAACCGACGTGTCTCTCGCTGTATGGACGTGGTCAAGTCAAAGCGATGCTATCGCACGGATGTCGAGATATTCGTTTGGTACCTGTTTGTAAGATCCCTCTTCTTCTTTGGCCGCTTGCTCAAGTGTTTGTAATCCCGTCGCAGCCGTCGCTCGCGCCGTGTCAGTTGGTCGCTCAACAGGTCGGTTGGCGTCGAGGCCAGGCGAAACTGGCTTGTTTGCTATCACGATCCAACTTTTTCCGATTTTGGCGCCATTTCCATGGCCATTGTGCTCCGTAAGATACAGGGAACAAACCAAGGCGCCGAGGCACTGAAGGAACAGAGGACCCGCGCCGTTGTGGCGGCTTTGGTGGCGGCTGGCAGATTTTTCACGCTCCCACCACTGGAGGCGGCCCTTGCCTTAGTGTACAATTCCCCCCCGGCCAACCAACGACATATTGGAAGAGTAATACACAGCATACAACAGCACCCAACAGGCTGGCAGAGTAAGTGCCGCTTCGCGCTTGCCCTGTTTAGGCAATTAGCATCCTCCAGTTCCTGCGCATCGAGTAATACTAGAACAGCATCTGGGCACTTGCACGGAGTCAGATACTGCGCAAAACAACCAGTTGGCCAGATGCGCCTTCCCTTCACGTACAGTGACTTTGGAAACGTATCACCATGGACGTCATCTAAAAAGGAAGCCGCAGCCCACGGCCGCGCACCCAGGTTTCCTATCTCTCCGCATTCTTCCAACTCCTCGCTTCACACATTTTTCATCACTATTTACCATCCGTCAGCCTTCCTCAAAGCACCCCAATTCGCAATGGACTCCCACATGGACACCTACAAGAAGCCGCAGTCGTCAGCCCTGAAGCTCACTCCGATCCGCATGCGGGGCAAGCGCAAGAGCAACCGCTCTAATGCCAGCAACGGCAGCGCCTCGTCGTCCGGCCATCCGAACAGCGACTCGGAGACGGCCGCTGCGACGGCTGGGTTGACGCTGCCTTCGTCATCCTCATCACCGCTCAAGCGGTCTCGGGCGTCGTCCCCGGCCTCGCAGAAGAAGTCGGGGCATGCGTCATCGTCGCTGTCAACCCCGAATGCAGCTCGTCGTGCCCGGACCAAAAGGTCGGTGCCGATGGACCAGCGGTTTCCACTCGAGGTCGTTGAGCGCATCTTCTTCTACTCCATGAACTTCAATCTTCCGCGTGCCAGTCCACGCCTTGGATGGATGCTCTCGAGCCGTTACACGCTGCGTGACCTCATGCTCGCTGCATTTGAGCCGCAGTGGAACCTGACCTTGACGCCGAAGCGATACAAGCGGCCGCTGAAAAAGCACAATGCGGCCAGACGAGCCGAGGCCCGGCTCATCAATCCGGCCCTGATGGTGAGAGAGTGCTTTGTTATTTATTCTTCAACTTTTTGTTTGGGCTTTCGTGGCGACGGCTAACGTATTCCCCTTTCCCCAGACGGCGGTTTTGAACAGCCCTTGGATGAAAATGGACCACTTGGTCGAGTCTATGCAGATCTGGCTGCAAAAGAATAGAAATAAGAAATACCTCCATACTCCCATTCCGTTTTCGGAAGAGCCAGAGCGAGACGCTGCAGCGGAATTTGTCCTCAATATGAACGACTTCGATGCTCTTGTCAGAGAACATCCCACAGAACACATTGTCAGCACACAGATGCTTGATAGGGGCTCTGAGACCCTTGATGATGGCGAAGACGAATACGACGAAGAAGGTGCCGAAGACGAGGAATTAAACGACGACGATGACGACGACGATGACGAAGAATCCTCTCCTGAAGGCGAAGATCGAAGCCCGGGATGGAGTTCAGATGAATATTCCGATCTCGGCTGCGACGAACAGGCTGTCGAATGCGAGCAAGAAAGTCGCAACCAAGCCAGCCAAGACCACGATGAAGAAGATGAACCGGACGTGAAGGTGCCTGAGACGAAAAGCCCGGGGCCTCTCGTATCTGCCCATGCTTGCTTTGCGATGGACCAGTTCTACTTTCTCGAAAGCATGCATGTCTCAGATATCTTCGATCCGAAGCCCGATGAGACACCTTCTACACTCCTGGCCTCTTATTTTGAAGACCGCGGTGTGGGTGCTCCCGAACGGCCCATGGATGGCATTGCTTTCATAGGTTTCCGCATGACTGTTGCGCCGGCCCTGATGCGTAGCCCCAGCCTCGGGAAAACGCAGATTCCCGAGTGGCTGTTGCTTGGCGGCGGGCCCTATCCGGCCAGCCAAAACCAGACTCGCGAGGGCCGCAAGGCTCTGCGGGATCGCCTGCGTGCGACATTCGACTTGCTCTCATGGATTGTCTTTGCTGGTGGCAAGCTGCAAAGGAACGACAGCTGGGAGTTGACGCTGCAGGGCTTCCAGAACTTGCTCGAAGTGGACGTACTGCCGAGCGAATGGGATACCTACGAGGAGGGAGAAGAAGTGGTCTCCGCCTGCGAACACGTCAGCGCTGGTCCGAATGAGAGGACCATCCGGCTCCAGTACAGCGTCGACACACTAGTCTCCGGGATCCTCGGCCTGTTCTACTCTCTGGGTGTCTTCTACCGCCAGATGCCCCATCATATCTTTGAATCCGCCGTTGCAATGGCGACAGCCCGCGGTGTGTCCGGTGGTTTAGCGTATCGGAAGTCGCTCACATACCTGACTCTGCAGCGCATTGCTTTTCTCGTCCCAGCAAACAACAAACGGTCCTTCCTTGAGATTATGCCTGAATATTTCAACATGAAGTTCTAACCTCCTGCGAGATATCGGCGGCCTCTACAAGATTTTTGTGGTTTATATGGTTTATATGGTTTATATAGCGTCAGCTAGTTATACCGTCGTATACCCTAGTTTTGGAAACGTTGTTTGACATACTACAATGCATTGCAAGGCACGTCGTTGAGACTACCAAGGGGGCGTTCGCAAGGCTGCAGCCTCGCACGATAGCCTGCTCAGTGGGGTCCTTATTTATTAGTCCGTCGGCCCAAACCACCCGACGGCGTCAGGCACAACAGGCACCAACAAAACTGAAATATGTAATAAATTTAATACTTTTGCAATAGTTGCTTTGGATCCACAGATAACCAACCATGCACGATTGTAAAGCCATCTTCACACCCCTCCTCCGAAGATGACGCCGTGTTGACTCATGCGGGGAGAATGCGCGAGGGGAACGTTCCACACGCCCTCGCACGCCCTCACACGCCCTTGCATACTATCACTATGATTCATTTACTTCGAAAGACGGAGCGAAACTCTGCTTGTGCTCTTTGAAAGAAAACAAACTGCTTTCCATCGTACCTCATCTTTCTACATTTTGTGCAAGCAGTGGGACGATGGTTGACTCCAGTGAAAATCTCTCTTTTTGTAGAGGGGCGAGTGAAAATACGTTGCGCTGATATATCCAAGGAGTAGCCTGTCATCACTAGATGAAATTTTGCATCCATAGGTTGATGTCCCACCATGCCGTGGGAGGACGTGAGCACGCGATTGTCGCCTTGCGCCCTCCAGATTAGGCAGACTTCTGGCTGTCTGAGAACGATCACAAGTGCCAAAAAAAAAACCCCCCATTCTGCACTGACAGCTTTGCTACTCATTTGAGTATACATGGAACAAATCCCCAGGTAGGTTGTGACCTGTGGTCTGTGAAATAGACAGTCCTGGTCTCGCGTGAGTCGTACCGCCACGCAGGATGAGTTGGACGACCTGTATTCGCGATCCACAACCAAGTTGCGCCATACAGCCAGTATCTCACCCCTCTTTGGTGTAGAAACACAGCCACGGCTCACACTGAAGCCAAGTTCTAACCCTTTGCGGCCGACTGGGAGGAACGCAACGGGGCGTGTGCAGAAGGCGTTCGGTAGTGCAACGCCAGGCCTGCTCCTTTCCCACTTCCGTGGCACGCATCGTGAGACTGTGGGGACGCCTGCCTAGCTCCTACCTCTCTCTGATGGGCAGTTTCTGCGTTGTAGACGAGAAAATGGAGATCAGAGCTGCTTTGCTTCCGTCGTTGTTGACCATCTCCCTGTCAGAAGATGCCAATAGAGTCGTCCAGCGGGCATTGCTGACCGATTCAAAAATCCAACTCCTCTTAGACACCTTGTCCGTTAGCACCCCATAGATAGCTCTGTATCGACAAGCCAAACCACTCGAATGGCCTCAATCAACAAAAAGCAAGAAAAAGGAACTGAACGTAAGAAGAAATTATGAACTCAATATAAAATAGACTTGGTACGGTTTGTTTACCTACGTTTATGCGTGGGAAAGACGCAACAAACGCAGTGAAGTAAGACAAGTAATAGAAAAAGTAGTAGTAGTACAAACGCGAAGCAGATCTCGAAAAAGGAGAGCAGCAGCAACACGAAAGAGGGAGCCTCCTTTGTTTTTTGCGACCGTCTGAAGCAAAGCAAGCCTTGGATGAGGAGATTCACGTCCCTAAGCAAAGCTGCTCATGCTCTTCGACAGTCGAGAGCCCATGGACGGTCCCTTCTCTTGTTCGCCCTCTTCCGCCCTCTGCACCCTTTTCCTTCTGTCTTCCTTCCCGTTCCGACTGCGCATCTACAATAAGATAGCATGTTGTTATGCTTCTTTTGTGGCATGTTTCTCTTGCGTCCCCAGGAAGCAAATACAGTCGACGCTGCCTGCTTTCTTACTTGGGTCTCCGGAGCCCCCTTCCCGTCATCCGAGCCAAAGGCCGTCACCGCCAAAAGTGTTCGAGGATAAAAGCGGGATAAAGACCTGTATGTACCGGTGGTCGATTGGCGTGGAGGTGTGGCGGTAGTTGGCTGGAAGCGAGGCATCTCCGGAACTCTCATCGATCGGCTAATGCCGTCGCTCGTCGTCTTGCGTACCCGACTCCGTCGTCCCCAGTCAACACCGAACATAAAAAAAGTAAAAACACCGCCCCTCCCAGTTCATCCGTCCCATATCGATCCCACAGAAACGCATAAGCAAAGGCAACAAAAACTGTAAAGCAACGCAATGTAAGAGAC